GGTAGCTTGGTGTGTAGCTTAATGGGTAGCTTGGTGTGTAGCTTAATGGGTAGCTTGGTGTGTAGCTTAATGGGTAGCTTGGTGTGTAGCTTAATGGGTAGCTTGGTGTGTAGCTTAATGGGTAGTTTGGTGTGTAGCTTAATGGGTAGCTTGGTGTGTAGCTTAATGGGTGGTCGGTAGCTTGATGGGTAGCTTGGTGTGTAGCTTAATAGGTGGTGGGTAGCTTAATGGGTGGTGTGTGGCTTAATGGGTAGCTTGGTGTGTAGCTTGATGGGTAGCTTGATGGGTAGCTTGATGGGTAGCTTGATGGGTAGCTTGGTGTTTAGCTTGATGAGTAGCTTGATGGGTAGCTTGGTGTGTAGCTTGATGGGTAGCTTGGTGGTATAGCTTAATGGGTAGCTTGGTGTGTAGCTTAATGGGTAGCTTGGTGTGTAGCTTGATGGGTAGCTTGGTGTATAGTTTAATGGGTAGCTTGGTGTGTAGCTTGATGGGTAGCTTGGTGTATAGTTTAATGGGTAGCTTGGTGTGTAGCTTAGAATATATTGTTGCTCAGTGTGTGTGTGTGTGTGTATGTATGTATGTATATATATACATATTAGTTCATGTCATAGTGTGTGTAGCTTAGAATGTAGCTTAGTATATGCAATTGCTCATGACTTAGTGCGAGCTTAATAGTGATGGAATCAATGTGTATATAATTTGAGATATGCTATTAAATGTATAGCGTTGAGTGCAGCTTAGTGATCCGGCTAATAATGTTGAATTAACGTGATGTTTGAGTGGCAGAAATTGCTGATTGATATTGACAATGATGTTTTGTTACCGTAATGTTTACGTGTTTGTTAGGTTGCAGAAATTGCTGATTGATATTAACATTGACATTTAATTAACGTGATGTTCACGTTGCAGAAAGTGTTGATTTTCTGGAAGAACGAGTACAACATCACGGGCTTTACGGTGCCTGCTGACGAGACCGAGAAACAACCTGAGCTTCATAACCTCACCACCTCCCTCAACCATGACCTAGCTGACCAGGACATGTGAGTCATGTTATAGCTTACTGACCTCAACCATGACCTAGCTGACCATGACATGTGAGTCATGTTATAGCTTACTGACCTCAACCATGACCTAGCTGACCAGGACATGTGAGTCATGTTATAGCTTACTGACCTCACCGTAATCTATGTAGATTTTGTCCTTGATTCATGATAATTATTTGAATGTACAAGTACTATTATGTCGAATGAGTGAGTATTCTAATGTACCTATCTCTATGTTATTTATCAGAGTGTAATTCTTCATAAGTAAATGAATATGCTGTTGTTATAACATGATAACATCTAACCTACCCTGGACAGCGTGGTGGGGGAGGGGATGGTTGACGTGTCAGATGCTGTCAGCAACCTTAACCTTCCTGGCAGCTTCCAGCAATTCCTGAAACTGAACTCTGACTCCTGGCCCTACTATAAGGTATGGCCTCGTGACAGGAGAAGTGGGTGGCCCCCTGACAGTGCTGGTGTGTGGCCCACAATGGGGCCAGTTGTAAAAGTTGTCAATAATTGGTCAAAGCTTTTCATTTGATTTTGCCATGAGTTGTATTCAAAATAATTCTCTTTAAATGGTTCAGAGAACCTAAAAGGCAAATAGAAGATGTATATGCCGTATAACTTGAATACATATTAATATGTGTCACAGGGTGATCGTAGAAATACCTACTACTATATTCTATTATATTATTTATTAGAGTCAAGTATGTCAACTATAATGTCTTGAATCATTGACAATGATTCATTGTCAATAGAACATTTATAGAAAATAGTTTAATAACATGCTCGATTCTCAAGGTGTTCTTTACTCTCTCAGCACGTAAGGACCGAATCAAAAGAAAGATATTTAATGAAAATTTGTTTGGCCAAAATACCGTAGCGCGGCCTTTAGTCGTAGTTTAATATGAAAAAAATCATAAATTACTTTAGCGCATTCATTCAATTGCAGTCTTTAGGCAGACAATGAGATCATTTCAACGGATAACAGGAAAATGTCAATGGTATTGATTTCTGTAATTAATATTATTGTCTTGTTTCCAGTTTATGCCGGTAGTGGCTGACCATCGTACCGCCTCACCCGCTCAGATGCCGGCAGTGACGATGGCCCTTATGCTCTCCCCTGGCACTCCCATCCTGCAGGTGATGTGACGTTCAATGTATTAAAATACATAGGTACCGTCAACTGGGGTGACTTTGGCCACCCGGGGTGACTTTGGCCACCTGGGGTGACTTTGGCCACCTGGGGTGACTTTGGCCACCCGGGGTGACTTTGGCCACCCGGGGTGACTTCGGCCACCTGGGGTGACTTCGGCCACCCGGGGTGACTTTGGCCCTGTCTCTTATACACATCTAGATGTGTATAAGAGACAGACCTGCGTGAGCCTGAAGGGGACGGTCTCAGGGGTGGGCAGGATCTTGGACCCACCTGCGTGAGCCTGAAGGGGACGGTCTCAGGGGCTGTCTCTTATACACATCTAGATGTGTATAAGAGACAGATGCTGCACTGTTGCTGCGTAATGCTGCAGTGTTGCAGCGTAATGCTGCAGTGTTGCTGCGTAATGCTGCAGTGTTGCTGCATAATGCTGCAGTGTTGCTGCGTAATGCTGCAGTGTTGCTGCGTAATGCTGAAGTGTTGCTGCGTAATGCTGCTATGCTGCTGCGTAATGCTGCTATGCTGCTGCGTAATGCTGCTATGCTGCTGCGTAATGCTGCTATGCTGTTGCGCAATGCTGCAGTGTTGCTGCTCTGTCCTTTGAGACCCTCATATTGCTGGTGAATGACTTCCTCAGTCTTCTTAATTTTTGTAATCCAAAATCTATTTTCACATAATGAGTGTAATTTATTGATCACTTTATTTGATTAAGTACACTGTAATTTATTAATTACATTAATTCACATAATGAGTGTAATTTATTAATCACGTTACCGTCATTTATTAATCACTTAAGGCGTGACGGTAACAGCTCTTATTGTTGTCAGAGTAACTACCCTAGACGTGACGGTAACAGCTCTTATTGTTGTCAGAGTAACTACTCTAGACGTGACGGTAACAGCTCTTATTGTTGTCAGAGTAACTACTCTAGACGTGACGGTAACAGCTCTTATTGTTGTCAGAGTAACTACTCTAGACGTGACGGTAACAGCTCTTATTGTTGTCAGAGTAACTACTCTAGACGTGACGGTAACAGCTCTTATTGTTGCCAGAGTAACTACCCTAGACGTGACGGTAACAGCCTCTTGTTCCGCAGATCCCAGGGAACAACACGGAGAAGTTCGTGACCAGCCTGGGGGGCGTGGTGGCTGCGTGCTCGGAGCTTCGCTCCAAAGACGCTTTCAAGTTCGGCGCCACGGAGTTCGTCAACTCCACCGCCAACGTCGTGGCGTTCACCAGGTGTGGGGCATGAGGTTCTGGAGGAAGGAGGGTCTGGCTCATGATGTGCCTCGAGTGTGATGTGTCTGGTCATGATGCGCCTCGAGTGTGATGTGTCTGGGTCATGATGTGCCTCGAGTGTGATGTGTCTGGTCATGATGTGCCTCAAGTGTGATGTGTCTGGTCATGATATGCCTCGAGTGTGATGTGTCTGGGTCATGATGTGCCTCGAGTGTGATGTGTTTGGGTCATGATGTGCCTCGAGTGTGATGTGTCTGGTCATGATGTGTCTCAAGTGTGATGTGTCTGGTCTATGATGTGCCTCGAGTGTGATGTGTCTGGGCCATGATGTGCCTCGAGTGTGATGTGTCTGGTCATGATGTGTCGAGTGTGATGTGTCTGGTCATGATGTGTCTCAAGTGTGATGTGTCTGGTCATGATGTGTCTCGAGTGTGATGTGTCTGGTCATGATGTGTCTCGAGTGTGATGTGTCTGGGTCATGATGTGCCTCGCGTGTGATGTGTCTGGATCATGATGTGTCTGGATCATGATGTGCCTTGAGGGTGATGTGTCTGGATCATGATGAAACTACTGTTGCCCGAAGTATAAGTATATTAAGTATAAGTTTGATTATTATATAAATAATAAAATATATTAAGTGTAAGTTTTAAATTATTCATACGGGTGAGGCTTGACACATGAACTAAGACTGAGAAATTTCTGTTCAATGTTCACTCATGCTGCTGTTGATTTTAACTGTGTTCACTGTTGACTTATTGTGTTCTGTTCATGTTTACTGATACCGGGTACTATTGTTTGTCTCCATGCCTCCCTCAGGATCAGGTGAGTATTATACCTGTATTGTCTAAGTAGCTTCAATTTACTCGGAAAAGGGGCGTCATAATGTTATTGTGCCTTTGAGCTTTTACAAGTTAGTTAATTAAAGCAACAAATTAATCTTGTAACGCCAATGTCAGTTTATATTACAAGTTTGTTCATCTTGTAACCGCAATTGAGCCTTGTTTTTTCTGGCTGTATTGTCGTATTATTCCTAATGCTGCATGTTTATTGTTAGCTCCTCCCTTTCTTTGAATTCTCTTTACCTTTATTATATCGGTAAATTTTGTTCATATATAAAGGCTTGGTAAGTAGAGTTCTCTTCAGTAGATATAGGATCAAGAAAGCATAAAGACTGTAAGGTTGTGAGTTTTAAAAAGTTTATTAACCTGCCTGCCAGTCCTCGGTGAGTTATGAGTATGGTTAAGAATCCATCAGTTGCGCTTGATGCATTCAATTAAGTAAGAACCATATACGGTCACGCTTGTGCTGTGCCTTCGAATCGCCGTCCCACGCTAGGGGCCATACTTTCGAAACGCGCTCAGTGAACGTAAGTACTTACGCTCTATTTTCTTGTCTATGAGGATTTTGCTTGAAAAGCCGTCAATGATTGGCTGATGAAGTTACTATTTTCTTGTCTATGATTGGTGGATTTTGCTTGAAAGGCCGTCAATGATTGGCTGATGAACTTACGATCTCTTAACTTTTTTGAAAGTATAGGCCCAAGACTGGAACCCTCGCCTTCGTCTTCACCACTAACCAGTTGGGTGTGCAGGACGATGAAGGGCGTCACTAAACTGCCCGTTTGTGTGCAGGACGATGAAGGGCGTCACTAACTTGCCCGTTTGTGTGCAGGACGATGAAGGGCACGCCTGGGTATGCCGTGGTAAGCAACTTGGCGCACGAGGACGTACTGCTGGACTTCAGCATCCTCCCCGCCGTCCCCTCAACGGGGACGCTCGTCTATAACCTCACCAGTGGGGAGGTGCCCCCCAGGTCAGGCTCACACTGTAGTTCTTCTCGTCTGAGTTTATATGCAAAGAAGGAACCAAGGGACACTACGTGCACTTAGGCCGCTGTGTGCACTTAGGCCACTACGTGCAAGTAGGCCGCTACATGCACTTAGGCCGCTACGTGCACTAAAGTCTTTTCAGAGAGCAATCCGAGGATTTTGTTTTCCTCGTCCGGCTCCTAATTTAATGGTTTTTGAATCGCTGCATCACTGTTGAATTGTAACTTTGCCCTAACAACGATTACAGATTGAGTTTTATGTACCAAATCACGGTTATTCGGTACTTGTGTAAAGATTTTTGGGTGTGAATTTGGCTTTCTCAATTAATTGAACTTCTATTTGTTGAAATTCTATTGAACTGATGATGAAACGGATCTGAAAGAAGTTTTTGGTTAAAACATTGTAAAATTACTCTGTTTTTTCTACCTTTTCAAATTTTTACTTAATATGGGATTTAAGCACTCTAATGGTCTGAGTTCTCGTCTATATCGTGTTTCTGAAATTTCCTATTCACCGCGAATTCTTCTTGAACTACAAGTTTTTGCTATTTATGAATTTGTAAAAACTCTTTGTCTCAAGTTTCTACTTGCCATTTATGCCTCGGTCGACATTGATCGTCTAAAGACACATCAATATTTATGTTTAGTTATTGCGATTACTTGATTACTTAAGCTTGAATTGCAAATTTACAAAGAATTTTTGAGCTGTCTTTTTAATATTCATTAATACAATATGATTTTCGCTACTGTCTTGGCAATATTTGTTGGGCAAATTTATGACCGTGGAAATAAATAAATTAAATAAATAGTAAAATAATATAAATAAATAAATAGTAAAAAAATGTGCAAAATAAGTAAAAATAAATAATAAATGAATAAGTGAAATGAATAAATGTGTTGCAAGTACGACATCATGTCTCCCAACAGCAACAAGGTGGATCTAACATCCGTGCTGGTGGAGGGCCATGGAGGAGCTGTCATCGAGTTCGTGGCTCAGGACCATTAAAATCCTCCACCAACTCCTCCAGTGTTATCCACCTTCTTCAGTGTTATCCACCTCCTCCAGTGTTATCCACTGTCATCCACCACGCCAGCCGCTCACTCACGCTCATTCCTTACCTTGGATGTCAGCTCTAGCAGCATCTCGGAAATGTTTCTTCTGTGCTAAATTAAAACGTTTCTTTTATTTTTGACGTTATTGCTATCATTATAAAAAAATTAAATGCAGGGAAACTAAATCCTTTTGATGAATTGTTATTGAACAATTTATAAGTTTGAGCGGTGAAGTAATATTTGAAATATCATTATTGATATTTTAACTCGCAAGTTGTATAACTCTTACTTTGAACGTCACGTTACACTGGTAATGTTATTAACGCTTCTGTACGCACGGTCACGTTATTCTTATTGTTTGTAGTACTTTTACTTTAGTTAAATTCGGGCTGACGTTGGGTGGTTAGAAGGCAGGCGCGTTGGAGCCAACGTTGAGTGGTGGGCAGTGGATCTGCTTGTTCTCGCTTCTGCTTATATCGCAAATATTCAACACAAACACGCACGAAATGTGTTACATATTCATATGTAATGTATTACATAGGAACGCTAGCAATATCTTGTACGCAAGATAATCTGTCGAACGGTCCATACTCACTGAGCCCAGGTGCGGTAATACAAAGTCCAGGCGATATCTTTGTTTATTAATGGACATGGTCCATTTAATATATGATGTTGATAATAACATGTATGTTGATGTTGATAAACGTCATCAATCAATGTTGATGTTGTTGACTTCAAAATGTGTATCAGACTTAAGAAAAGCCCTGCCTCGAATGTAGAATCAATGTTCGAATCGTTGATTTGAGTTCAATTCGTGTGTTTTTGACTTCAACTTGATCGTGAGTTTTATTTTATGCGATTTTACTGGCCACGATGGTTAGTATTTTGACGTGTTCGATTATACTATGCGTGTATAATTGCTTGTTATATAGTTAATTTAACTGATCAGCATTAATGGTAATTGTTATTGTTTTTTGAATTGATGCCTTGAGCGCGGTTCAGTTGTTCGATGTAAACCATCATGAAGGTGCAGGGTTGCGATGTGAACCATTATGAATGGGTTCGGGCCCAGTAAGAAAAAGGTTTGAATATCGTAATGTTGAAGTGGGATTGAGGATTACAATACCGAATTGTACACATAATACCACATTCTAACATTGTACGACATTGTACACGCAGCACCACATTCTATCATTGTACGACATTGTACACGCAGCACCACATTCTAACATTGTACGACATTGTACACGCAGCACCACATTCTAACATTGTACGACATTGTACACGCAGCACCATTCTAACCATTGTACAACATTGTACACACAATACCACATTCTAACCACTGTACAACATTGTACACATAATACCACATTCTAACCGTTGTAACACCACATTCTAACCATTTTACGACATTGTACGCATGATAACACATTCTGAGCATCGTACAACATTGTTCCTCCATTACTCTTTAATTATAATACCGCCGCTTGTACCCACGCCAGCTGCTTCGCTAATAAACATTCTGCCGTAATGTTGAGTTATTTATTCTCATAAATATCTGTGTGAGGCAGTCAACCTATGTGAGGACCTCACTGTGTGAGAGCTTTGCTAGTTGATCCCTTCAGGAGTATGAGGCATGAAGGAAACAATTGTGAGGTATGAAGGAAACAGGATTATGAGGCATGAAGGAAACAGAATTGTGAGGCATGAAGGAAACAGGATTGTGAGGCATGAAGGAAACAGGATTGTGAGGCATGAAGGAAAGAGGATTGTGAGGTGTAAAGGGAATAGCGAAGCCAACGCATGGTTGAATTTATGTACAATAGGATGTGAATCAAAGTGTGATTTAGAACAGGATGTGGATCATAGTGTGATGTAGAACAGGATGTGGATCATAGTGTGATGTAGAACAGGATGTGGAGCAAAGTGTGATGTAGAACAGGATGTGGAGCAAAGTGTGATGGAGAACAGGATGTGGACCAACTTACGTGAATTAACATGCAAGCTATGGACCGTAGTTATCTGTCACTCGCCGACTGAGTGCAGTGGAACAACGGTAAACATTCATGAAATTCACCAGGTGGTCCCTGAATGAAACTACGGACTAGAATTAATTCGATTTACAAGCAATATGATATAATTTGAATATATCAAATAAGAGCTTGTAAGTATTCTAGATAATAATATTTTGATTATTAAGTAGAAAAACTTATTAACGGCTTGAATGAGTTAGAGATGATAATCGTTATGGAAGGCTGGAGCGCGTGCGACTGAGGCTGGTAGCCTGCGAGGCTGCGACTACCGACTCGAGTCAGTCGAGTGTGGAGTTAGTGCGCCTCTGGCTGTGGTCGAGTGAGGGTGTAAGTGTTTTGTGCTCCGTCTTGTGCCGCACGGTGCCGCTCTTTCAGTGCCTTTAGTTATCGCTGCTATGGTGATCAGATAAAATGTGTTTCAAATTATCAATACAATCTAATTACTTAATAATAAATGTGCGGATAAGATCACGAAACTTTAATTAGTTGTAATTTTCAACGTAAATTTTTAAGTTACTTCGAAGTCGACGTAAGAAGTGAAAATTGAGCTAAGCGTACGCCAGCTGAATGATGTGAGTGCAACCTGTTCTGATGTGCGTTCGTACGTACGTGCGGTGAATGCTGTCGTGGTGACACATGTGTGGTGACCGTACACAATAACTGTGTGGTGACACATGTATGGTGAGCGTACACAATAACTGTGTGGTGACACATGTATGGTGAGCGTACACAATAACTGTGTGGTGACACATGTGTGGTGACCGTACGCAATAACTGTGTGGTGACACATGTGTGGTGACCATACGCAATAACTGTGTGGTGACACATGTGTGGTGACCATACGCAATAACTGTATATTGACCGTACAGTAACCGTTCATTCATCATAATTATTTGTATTTGTGTCATAATGATGGTTTGTAATATCATTTTAATTCAATGCGATGCTTGAAATCATTCCCAGAGAAAATGATAAAAATTCTACACTTAGAGAAATAAGTGAAACTTTGTCTAAATGCCGTTACCCAGTTGTGTGTTATGTGCCATGACCAAGAAAGTGTGTTACTATTCGTACAATTTGACACATTAATTTATCTGAGTGTATCTGTCAGAGATGTTTTTTACTTTAGTATACAAAAAAAAATCAAGCCTAAATGAACGATTTTATTATAAAAATCATCGCTATCATTTCACAATTATATAAATAATTTTAGATTCCGAGTGCATTTCACACTTGACACAATGACACACATGACACAATGACACACTTCCTGACACACTTGGTGGCCAAGTCATGTGTCGGTGTCATGACACACTTGACACAATGACACACTTCCTGACACACGCTAAGGCCATGTCATGTGTCGGCATCATGACACACTTGACACAATGACACACTTCCTGACACACTTGGAACAGCTGCACACCTCTTACAGCTGCACACCTCTTACAGCTGCACACCTCTTACAGCTGCACTGTATGAGTCATGTCCATGTTCATGTTCACATCATTAAACATGTTCTATACCTCACTATTATAAAGCACTTTACCTTCATTAATAAATAACTCATTCCTCCCTCATTCCCATTAATGACTATTTCGCAATTCCGGGAATTCCGGACGCATTCCCATTCCCATTCCTGGCTGCCTTCCAGGAATTAGGAATTGCAGAATTGCACACTTAGAAGAACGAATGGGTCAAATTGTCCTAATTTCGACACACTTCTTACCGACTTCATACGCCGATAATGAGCCAAAACAATTGCATGAAGTATGAGAAAATCAATATTTGAATTCATTGAGATGTGAGTTTATTGAGGATTTGAACGTTTTACAGGTTTTGAACGTTTTTCACGATTTGAACGTTATTTTGGATTTGAAGTTTTTTTTCGGATTTGAACGTTTTCAGGTTTTGGACGTTTTTAAGGTTTGAACGTTTTTAAGGTTTGAACGTTTTTAAGGTTTGAACGTTTTTAAGGTTTGAACGTTTTTAAGGTTTGAACGTTTTTAAGGTTTGAACGTTTACAGGTTTTGAATGTTTTTCAGGTTATGAATGTTTTTCAAATTTTGAACGTTTTTCATGTTATGAACGTTTATTAGGTATGAATATTTTCTGGATTTGAACGTTTTTTTAGGATTTGAACGTTTTCAGGTTTTGGACGTTTTTAAGGTTTGAACGCTTGTCAGATTTTGAACGTTTCTCACGATTTGAACGTTATTCTGGATTTGAACGTTTTTTAGGATTTGAAAGTTTCAAGTTATGAACGTTTTTCAGTCTTTGAAAGTTTTGAAGGTTTTTCAGATTTTAAACGTTTTTCAGGTTTGAACGTTGATCAGATTTTGAACGTTTTTCAGGTTATGAACGTTCTTCAGGTTATGAACGTTTTTCTGGAATTGAACGTTTTTCAGGATTTGAACGTTTTTTAGGTTTGGAGGTATGAACGTTTTTCAGGTTATGAAGTTTTTTGGATTAGAACATTTTTTCAGGATTTGAACGTTTTTCATGTTTTGAACGTTTTCCAGGTTCTCAACGTTTTTTCAGGCTATGAACGTTAATCAGGCTTTGAACGTGTTGGTGACATGGTGTTACTGATATGGTGGCACGATTCTTGACATAATTTATGTGTTTGCTCTGAAATGTCGAATTCCGCAGAAAAACTGTGTAAAGTGAGAGCATAAAAAGATAGCTCTGACATGACAGGTGTTGACATGACAGCTGTTGACATGACAGCTGTTGACATGACAGCTGTTGACATGACAGCTGTTGACATCACTGGTGTAGACAGCTGCAACAATACACTGCGTTGACAGTGATACATGACACAGCGGGTCAACTGAGGTAAGGTTCTAATTCTTTTTTATCTTATTTGTTTTGTCTTGTCTTATCGTGTATTGTCTTGTTTGTCAACGAAATATAATAAATATATTAATTAGGCATCATTCAATGTCTAATTTATTCCCGTTCAATTGTTTACTAATAAATTAATTTCCCGATATATTTTGTACATAAAAAGCTGCGCCAAAAGCAGTCGTGACAGCTGCAGTTGTAGCAGCTGTAAAGCCTGCAACACGGTGTGCGTGTTGGCAGGTATATAGAGCTGCTATGTAGCAGATGTGTGCACCTGCAGCGTGTGTACAGCTGTAACAGGTGTACAGCTGTAGCAGGTGTATGCACCTGTAGCAGGTGTACAGCTGTAGCAGGTGTACAGCTGTAGCAGGTGCACAGCTGTAGCAGGTGTACAGCTGCTACAGCTGTAGCAGGTGCACAGCTGCACTAAAAAAGAGCGCAGTAAGAATTCTCTGCTTGACGAGGTACGCGCAGAGAAATAAGCGAGTTTTTGTCGAAATGCCGATTAATTTTCTACCTCGAGTGGGTCCTCCTGACCCAGTCTGTCTAGGCGAAATAAAGCGTTACAATATAAAAAAGCCTTAATTATATTTATTCAAAATATATTATTTATTTAAAATATATTAATTATCAGTTAATATATATAAATCAATTAATAATATAAATAATCAATTAAGCACTTTTTTTATTTGGAAGATATTTATTAATATGTATGTATTATATATGTTAGGTACATATAATATATATTATGTACCTATATACTATATATATTATTATGTATAATTAAATACTATTTGTTGTGTCAAGGCTGCCCTCGAGCGCCTGCCAAGTGAGGGGCGAAATAGAGGGGCGAGGGGCAAGTGAGGGGAACCGATGGGCCAGGGGACAAGTGAGGGGCGAGGGGACACCAGGGGCGAGGGGAGACAAGTGGGGGGAACCGATGGGGAGGGGACAAGTGAGGGGAACCGATGGTTAGGGGACAAGTGAGGGGAACCGATGGTTAGGGGACAAGTGAGGGGAACCGATGGTTAGGGGACAAGTGAGGGGAACCGATGGGCGAGGGTACAAGTTAAGGGAGAGGGACAAGTGAGGGGCGAGGGGACACCAGGGGCGAGGGGCAGGCAGCGGGGGGCTAAGCCCTCGCTCGTATTCGCTTTGTTATATCGAGGACGCGAGCCGCTGTGGTGAATATATTGATATTATACTAATAATGACGAATATGTCGGTATTTTATTATTGAATATGTATAGACTGATATTTTCTTATCATTAATATTTAATTGCTGACTAAAATCGTATATACTGGGGGTGCAGAAGATATCCGATACAATGGAAAAACTTTATTTAATTTAAGCTTATTCAACAAAATAACTTAAATAAACACGATTCTAATGTCAATTTACATTAAAAAAATATAAATGTCATATCAAAATAACAACATCATTAAATGTTGACTTTAAAAATGCAATTTTGTAATGTCATGGTTCAAAAAGTATTCAACACATTGTACACAAATATACTCAGCACTTCTTTATGTGACCTTTAACAGCCAAAAGTGCTTCTAACCGATTGGAATACTTAATTGTTCGCAAGATTAGCAAATACGCTTAAAGGAATTTTAGCCCACTCTTCCTTGCATATTTCTTTCAGTTTGATAAGATTTATTGGATCTCCCTCCTGAACCCTCAATTTCAATTCCCGCCACAGATTTTCAATCGGATTGAGGTCAGGTGATTGGCTTGGTCATTCTAATAACTCAATGTCCCTCTCTTAAAACCATGCAAGGGTTGCCCTAGCCGTGTGCTTATGGTCATTGTCTTGTTGGATTATCCAATCAAATTCCAATATTGTCTTGTTGGATTATCGAAGAAGGTTCAAATGTTTAGGCTGACTTCACGAGACATCTCTCAATAATGTCCCGATACATTTCGGATTTCATCCTTCAATGATTTAAAATATTCAGCGCCTGCAGAAGATTAACTACCCTAAAGCATTACGCTGTCACCTCCAAACTTCATTGTTGGGAGGGTATTCTTTGAGTGAAACACAGAGTTCTTCTGACTCACACAGTTCCGACCAACTAACTATTTTAGTCACATCTTCCTATAATATTTTATCACAAAAGCTTAAAGGTTTACTCATGATTTTGTTAGTAAAGTTCCGGCGGTTCTTTACGTGAATTTACTTATTTACTTCAAGTGAGGGGTTTTTTTTGGTGACCGAGAGTGGAATCGTCTCTCTCTCTCTCTCGAACTTTCTTAATTGTATTATTGAAAACATTCGTCCCACTTGATTGCAAGTCTTTTTGCAGACGGTAAGTGAACTTAAGTACTTACGCTCTATTTTCTTGTCTGTGATTGGTGGATTTTGCTTGAAAAGCCGTCAATGATTGGCTGATGAACTTAAGATCTCTTAACTTTTTTTGAAAGTATAGTGAACGTAAGTACTTACGCTCTATTTTCTTGTCTGTGAATGGTGGATTTTTGCTTGAAAAGCCGTCAATGATTGGCTGATGAACTTACGATCTCTTAACTTCTTTTGAAAGTATAGGCCTCAGAACTAATCAGTCGAGTATTATTCTGTACCTTTAAAATTAAACTCTTAGCTGTACGGTCAGGCTGATATATATAACAAAGGTCACAATTTGTATCTCTCTACACTGAGGGAAATAAATCAGACTTACCACGAATAATGATGGAATTTATGCCCTTGCGTGGGTCTTCTTGACTCAGTTTGGTCCGGCAAAGACGTGTCAGTGGTGCGTGCAGGAAGCGTGTATAATAGTTGAACATTTAGACGCATTTATTTTTCTGATTGAAATTTATGGTTACTATTCTTTCTTATATTTCACACAGGCGACTCCTGTGTACAGGGTCCGCCATATTTATGACAACGCATGTTTTTTGTTATTTCTCAATGAAACAAACAGGTGCATTGTTTTTTTATTGGATGAGATATATAGTAGCCAAGAATTACCTAAACAATTCTCAGACATATTTATTCAATATGACCACCTTTATTTTTAATGACGGCCTCCAATCTACGCGGGAAAGCTTCACAGGAGACACGCAGCATTTCTTGAGGGATCAAGTCCCATTCTCGTGTCAATTTAGCCTTCAAACTATCCAAAGAATCATGAGGTGTTCTGCAGACCCTACTCTCTAAAATAGCCCACACAGAAAAGTCGAGAGGATTCAAATCAGGGCTTCTTGAGGGCCATTCATTTTTGCTAATGAACGCTGGGATGTGACCCTGAATCCAGTTTTGGGTCACATTTGAGTTATGTGATGGGGCAGAGTCTTGTTGAAAACTCCATGGTGAGCCGTTGAAGTGTTTTCGGGCCCAAGGGAACAACACAGCTCCCAAAATGTCCGAAATTTATCGCTGACTGTTCAATTTCACTTATGAGGGGACAAAAACGAGTGGGGACCTCCCAGTGGCAGTTACCGCGGCCCAAACCATCATGGACATGGGTGGACATCGTGTTGCTGTTCTGGTTGCCACAGATCCATCCCGACTGCAAACTCTGTCAATATTGATGGTTAACGCTTTGTTCAATGTCAAATTTTTTCTCGTCACTGAACACCAAGTTGGGCAACGTGCCATCCTCAATCAGATCCAGAATGTGCTGGCATCTTTCGAGCCTCATTCGTTCATGACGGTCTTTTAATTCATGCCTTGTTTGCATCTTGTAAGGGGAGGTTTTGAGGTCATCGTTGAGGACGCATTGATACGATGTCTGATGTCTACGCATTGATGTCTGACTGACTCCTGCTTCTGCAGCCAATTTTGCAGCTGAGCGACGAGGGTTTCTCCTCAACTTCTTCCTCGTGTTTTTGGCCAATTGTTTTGTTCGGACACTTCGTTTCCTTCCTTGACCAGGTCGATTGCATGTTTCACCAGTTTCCTTGAATTTTTTTACCACCTTCCACAAAGTTTCATGACGAATTTGTAGCTTTTTTGCAATGACTGAATTACTCTCGCCCTTTTGATGAAGGGTTACAATTGCATTTCTATCTACTGCCATAAGCAATAGTAAATTTAGACACCGTAGACTTCTGCAATATAAAATAGATGAATTAATAGATGATATTAAGCTTTAATATAAAAGAAAAGTCTCCTAGAAACCAATTTATTTTTATATAGCAAACATCCGTTGCCATAAATATGGCGGACCCTGTACTTGTTTGTGCGTCTCGTATCGCTTTTGTGTGTGTGTGTGCATGTGTGCGTGTAATTTGATTTTCGATTTTGAACCGTATCTACGATACTTTCTGTATGAACTTATGTCATGTCCAAATTTCAATTTTTAGCGTTGTAATAACTGTTCAATTGCTTGATAATGAATATTGATATATTCGAAACGTCGCACTGCAATAAAATGTCATTCGGTAATCTACTTTTTGATCTCCAAGCTCCAGCTAGAAATTTCGTTCGGCTTATCGAAAAGAACAATAAGAAAATCGTAAATAAAAAGTACGCTCTGGTCTTCAACCAAACCTGTATAAGTGTGCGTGTACGTGCATGTATGCATGTACGTGCATGTGTGTGTCCGTGCATGTGTTCGTGTACATGCATGTGCGTATAAGCGCATGAGCGTGTACGTGCATGTGCATATACGTGCATGTGTGTGTGTGTACGTACATGTGTGCGTACATGCATGTGCGTGTACGTGCATATGTGTGCGTGCATGTACGTGTGTGTGTCTGTATACATTTCCGCTGCCCAGCATCCTGCAGCAATCCTAGACGGCGGGACGGAGAGAAGGAGGCGCGGTGAACGAAATTTTATTTTATTAAATTGTATTTTATTTTTATTAAATATTTTTTTAATTATTTCACTCATAAATATAATTTTTGTATTACTCTAATTTATGTATTTATAGTATTATCATGTGTTAATCACAATTTAATTGATTATATTTTAGAAGCAAATACGTTCAATTAATCTCACAGCAAACAAGGGTTTACACTCAAACAAATGTGTGGCACT